CTCGTGTGGATTTGTTTTAATTTTCTTCAACTTCAGCCTGAACTTGCATATGAACAATTGATGGACTTTTCCACAGTCTGCACCTGGCCTTGTTTTGGCTGATGATATGAATCTCTTCCACCATCTCTTCCCACAAATGTAGTCAGTTTGATTCAGGTAAGGTTCATGTGTATAGTCACTTTTATGTTGTTAAAGAAAAGTATTTGCAGTGAAGAAGTCATTGGTCTTTCAAAATTCTATCATGTGATCTCCAGCATCATTTATATTACCAAGACCATATATTCCAATGACTGATCCTTCCTCTTGTTTCTAATCTTTGCATTACGATCATCAGCAATAATCAATAATTCTTGATTGCATGTTTGATCAATTTCAGACTGAAGAAGCTGGTAGAATTCTTCAGTTTCATCATCACTGGCTTTAGTGGTAGGTGTGTACATTTAAATAATAGTGATATTAACTGGTCTTGTAGGTGTATGGGATATTATCCTATCACAAACAACACTATTCTTCAAGATCTTTGAATGTTCTTTTTTGACAAAGAATGCAATGTCATTCCTGTTGAATTTGTCATTCCTGGCGTAGTAAACCATATGATTATCTGTTTCAAAATGACCAGTACCGTTCTGTTTCAACTCACTAATTACAAGGTCAGTGGTTCAAACCCAACAGATACTCTTTGGAAACACTATACAGGGTCACTATGAGTAAGAACCAACTCAAAAGCACTTAACAAAAACAATGCCTATGGTATCGATCTTTATGTATTCCATTTCATTTTTGACAGCTTCCAATTTTCCTAGATTCATACTTTGTACATTTCATATTCCAGTTGTTAATGGAGGTTTACAATTGTTCCTCTTCATTTTAAATTGTGCTCCATCAGCAAATGAAGGTTTCAAAAGCTTTATTCTATTCACGTCATCATGGTAAATTCTATTTTGAGGGGGCTGCTTTTCCTCGGTAGTATTTTGAGTGCTTTCCAACTTGAGGGGCTCATCTTCCGACACTACATCTGACAGTGTTCCATTGCTATTTATAACGTTTTCTGTGGTTAAACATTAAGAAGTAGTTTGCCTCTTCTTCCTAGTCTGTCTTAAGTCTGCAAGCTCCTCTGAAACCTATCCACCATGGGTAACCCTGCTGGTATTTAAAATACTGGTGCCATAGCTTTCAGCATCACAGTAACATGAAAACCACCAGAGTGTGACAGACCAGTGGTTGGTCAACTGAATGTTGTTGTTGCTAAGTGTCCTTGAGTTGATTCCAACCCATAGTGACCCTGTATAGGGTTTCTAAGGAGCAGCTGGTGAGCTTGAACTACCGACCATTGCAATTCAAACAGCTTTGCAGTCTGGTACATTAACCCACAGCACCACACCAGGACTCCTGAATAGAGACTTCGATTACATCTACAATGTCCATTAATATGGCAAACCATATTCTATTCGTTACAAGTGAGTTACAGATCCCACACACACTCAAGGGAAGGAGATTATACAAAGGTGGGTATCATTTTGGGTCATTTTATAAATCTGCCCACTACCAAACCACAGCAAATTAAAATTTAGCACTCAATCTCAGTACATCCAAGAAGTTAACTGTGGACTTCAAATATTACTATTTATGAATCTTCATTCTTGTGTATGAGTGTTTGCTTATTTTTTAATGCTTAATTAGCTAAAAAGTTACCATCAGTTAAGGCGAAAGTATTTGGTTATATAAAGATGGAAGGGACCAGCTTACCTAGGGTATGATTAATGCATGACAGCTACAGTCCTGTCTTGTCCTGCACAAATAAACCATTAGTTAGGGACTATTGCTTAACTATCTGAGTAGTGCAAACAGTTAACGCTAACTGCAAGGTTGGGGAAATTCAAATCCACCCAGATCCTCAGAAGAAAAGCCTGCCAATCTACTTCTAAAAAATCAGCCTTTGAAAGCTTTATGGAGCACAACTCTACTCTGATACACATGATTTTGTCATCAGTCAAAGTCACCTTGGTTACAGTTGGTTTGAAATCCCTGAGTGGTTCAAATGTTTAACACACTTGGCGGCTAACTGAAAGGTTGGAAGTTCAAGTACACCCAGAGGCTCCCCAGAAGAAAGTTCTGGCAATCTACCTCCAAAATATTAGCCTTTGAAACTCCTATGGAGCACAGTTCTACTTTGACATACGTGGAATCACCATGAATCAGATCAACTGAATAGCAACTCTATTGATGGTGGCATTGCTTGCCTTGGGAAAAAGTCATGTTGAATTCCTTTCATTAGTAAACTTTACTAGCTAACTCTATATGATTCCATTCACACACACACACAAACCTACAATCACACATTTCTATTCAAGGTTACAACTAGATAAAATGAGTTACTCTTAAGAAGAGTTGTCTCAAATGTTGTGCATCATAATCTTTGACTACGTTTTGTTGTTGTTAAGTGCCATCAAAGTTCCAACTACATAGGATTTCTGAGGAGTGGCTGGTGGGTTTGAACTGCCAGCCTTGTGGTTAACAGTCCAGCGCTTATTGTTTAGCACCATACGAGGACTTCTTTGACTCCTCTAGTTCTACTAAAAACAACAAAAACATTATACTATCAGCAAACAATGGAGATCGCCATTTCAACATGCTTCTAATCTTAATAACACACTACAGAGAGAAAGATAGTTATGTCAATGTCAGTAAAGGAAAAGAAGTAGCCAGTTTAGCGTTACTCTATGAATAAAATGCATAACTATATTAGAAAAGTAAATAGGCTGAAAGAGTTGAACAGGAAATAAGAAAAGAGTCAGTCACTTTATACAGTTAGTTCGTAGCATTTATATAAATCAATGTTATTGTTATTAGATATCACTGAGTCAGTTCCGACTCATAGCGGCCCTGTAGAGAGTTTCCAAGGGGCAGTTGGTAGACCTGAACTACCGACCTTGCGGTTCAAACTGACCTTGCAGATCGGTGCTTATCTTACAGCACCACACCAGGAAATCAATAAGAAATCCCAGATCTTTAAAAGGTAGACAAGAAATGTAACAAGCAAGCAGATTTGGGGACAGATACTCAACCTTGGAGGTAATGAAAATTTTAAAGAAATGAAATGTAAAAACAGCAAGATACTGTCTTTTAGTCTAATGAGATAATGAATGTTATTTGTCTGATATATAATCATATTCAGAATATATTACACTTCTCTGCTTCTTCCTCTCCTGCCTCTGGAACACAAATAAAATCTTCATCTAATGTTTTTATTACATTGTCTCATACAAGATAAATTTTACATCATGAACACTATTCCTGTGATAGTTGTATTTTACCAAGAGCAAGACTTTTTCCTTAAAACCCAAGTTTGGGATTTAGTAGAAGCAATGTTGAATAAAAAATAGGTTAAATAAAATTTTGAAATAAGTTTATTCTTTTTAAATGCATTTAGAAGCAAAGATTAATTAGATGATTTCCCTAATCTGTCCCAGAGTTTGTAATAAAAGGAATAATAAACTCTGAGTCAGTACTATATATCCTAAAACAAGTATTCTTATAATGTTAGAACAGAGCCCATCCAAGTTCCTATTTGTATAAACTGCATTACATAATTATCTCTTGCAACTTATTAAAGGTAGTTAGAGTAAATATTTTTGATGATAATGAGCTGTTTCTGTTATTTCATTTAACCCTCACATCTTTCTGAGACACGTTACTTTTTCCCCCATTTTACAGATGAGAATCAAGAGTCTCAGATATTCAGTTATTCCCTCCAAAATCATACAGGTGGTTTGGGTAGAACTCAAATTCAAACCCAAGTCTGCCCAAGCCCAAGTTTTGATCTGTCCACTACACAGCACTCTCTCTAGGAGCATAATCTATTATTTCAAAAATACAAAAGTGATTTATAAGAATAAAAATGTAAACATCATTTTGTAGAAATAGTCTGCTAATAATCATTGCTTCTGCAACTTTATATGAATTCATGAGCAGTTTTTTAAAATAAAAAAGTTGTTTAGCTCCCACAAATGAGCTGTTATACATTCAGAATACAGTGCTTCCTATTCCATGTCAAAAGTGCAGATTTGCCTCCTGATAAGATGTACTATTTGGAGACTATCTATTTTTTATTGTGATTCAGGTGCAAATAACAGGAAAGCATATTTTTTCCTATCTTGGCAAACAGAGAGGCATTTCACAAAGAGACTACATAATATAATTATTTAAAAGGCCATTATTTTGCATTGTGATTTGGGAGAAAAAAGAAAAAAAAGAAAAAGATTTTAGCACAGGGTTCAATGATTTACCAGTGGGTAAGTGACTTCAAGGATCTCTGGTAGCGTAGTGGTTACAAATTGGGCTGCAAACTACAAGGTCAGCAGTTCGAAACTACCAGCTGTTCTGAAGGAGAAAGATGAGGCTTTCTGCTCCCGTAAAGATTTACAGCCTTGGAAACCTGTACAGGGTCGTTATGAGTTGGAAATGACTCAAGGGCACATAACAACAACAATAACAACAAAGTGACTTCAACAGAGAAGACAAGAGAATTTCCCAACACATGAGCCACCAGGCAGGTCTTCAGAAGTACTTGGTACTCTTCCCTGCCCTATTAAGTGAAAACATACAGGACCACAGGTAACCTCAGAGACATCCAGACTAATGCCAACTCAGAAAATGAACTAAATTGCAAGGGCTGATATTCATGCCCTAAAAATAAATATCTACCAATAAAAACAAAACAACAAATTTGCCTTCATAATTCTCAGACAATTAAACAAACAATAAGATGTACAGAGTATGGATTTTTTAAAGCTGTGAAAATGTCAAGAAAATAATTTTTAAATATCCCATTTCCCTTTGAGAAATTTAATTGACTTTTTTTTAAGTAAAAATATTTTCAAAGGTTTTCCAAGAGGAGTGTTAAAATTGCCAACAATTCCATAAGCATATGATGGCAAGCACACAGAAGACAAATGTTCTCATTGCACTCGAAGCATTGTAAACTCTTTTTCTCTTTACAGGGCTCATACTTGTTTTAACCGTCTGGATCTGCCCCCATACCCATCCTTCTCCATGCTTTATGAAAAACTCTTAACAGCAGTTGAAGAGACAAGTACCTTTGGACTTGAGTGACCTGGAAGCGCAATGCCTAGCAATCTCAGAAGCTGCCCTCTGGAAGAAAGAATGAAGATTGGAAGTTTCAAGAGTACAGTTATAGTAGCATAGAGCAGATGGCTGTGATTTTCCAGGAACACATGCTTTGTCACTTTTGGAGACGGGATAGTGATGTTGAGTCCTCTTGGAAAAATTTGGATGAGCTTGATACCCATGGAACAGCCCAACAGTCTTTCAATCAACAATTCTACTTGACTGCCAAACTTTTCCCATTTGTTATGTTCCAAGACAGACATGAACTGTATATGATCGGCTCTATGGTAACTTTTCAGGACTCAGGAGAATCTTGCAACTTACCTTTGAATGTGGCTGAAGCCAAACTGACTTGGCCCATCTCCAAATTATTGCAAGCTAAATAATATAATAAAAATAAATATATTTCCTGAAAGTACATTCATTTAAGCCCTAAATTATAAGCGAATGTTCCTTTCTTGCCTAGGAGTGCCTGCATGGTGTGCAACATAGGTTTCAGCTTTCATGGAAAATGAGTGAAAATGAAACCAAGTCAACATGAGGTAACTCTAAAGATTTGCAATAAGGTGGTCTGTGACAATTTATATGCAAGTGGTATATGTGTAATTATGGGTAAAGACAAAACTGTTATACAATGAATTGTTAATGACAGATTTTATGCTTTATAATGCATGAAAACAGGTTTAAAATAACTAGCAATTAATCACAGCATATCAGGAAAAAGTACACGGTGAGTTCTGGTTTTGTTTTTTTTTATATATAGAACTTCATTATATTTATGTTCTTTAAGATGTACATAAGAGCCTACCTATCACACTGTATGTCTCACCTGTTCCATTTTCATGTTCCATGCTTACTTGGGCATCATGCTAGTGTAACTTTTAAGTACACTCAAGGGAAAAAGGGGGCCTTTTATTTTTGTAAAGGTAAAAAAATTTCTCCAAAGTCTTTTGCACTGAATGTACCAAAGTTGAAGGGACATTACAATATGACTAACAGCAACTCCATCACTTGACAAATATAATAGAAAATAGGTTCTAAAATCAAACTTCCTTCACAGTGCCATGTTTACCACTGTGCATATAAGTAATAATTTTTTTTAAAACTCACTATATGTGATAGTATAATATGCATTTATTTAAAATGCATTAGACTCTCTTCCATCCATCAAATACTTTACAGGATGGCATTTAATACAGATATTTCGTATTTCCCCCACTCCTTTTTATTTGTACAGCATCATTAAACATGAAACTCAGTTAGAGAGCCATCAGCAACACTGAAGACATCAGATTTCTATAGTAATAAGAATTCCATTTTTCCCTCATCAGTAAAAATATCACAATTTGAAACTCTCAGCACTATATTTCTAAGCCTGCATTTTCACTGATGCATCATTTTCTTATTATCACTATTAAAAAACAGTTTTCTATGGTATCTCAGAAACTGCATGGCATCATTAATTTTATTTCTACATAATTTTACCAAGGGGTGTTCTTCATTTTAATTGGTTCTGGGTTTATTCTACATCATTGTTCATTTCTTGACTTAAGGCTGGAATGCGTCAGACGCTCAATAGAGTGAAGTTAAATTGTGGGTAATAAAAATATTGTATTAACATTCGGTTTGTCAGCCTATGGTTTTACAGGCATTGTCTGAGCATTTATTTGAGAATTATATCTATAAGTAGCCCTGGAATTCCTATTATGGGATGTTGGCATTTTAACATTTTATAGAGTTTGTATGCATGCCTTATATAGGTAGTTTGTAAAACTGGTTGGTCTCCAGTTGGCTAAGCTGCGTTTACCATATGAGTCTCAAGAGGAATACCACTCGTGTTACAACATTCTGCACTGAAAGCAGGTACCACAGTACAGGGAAATGTTCTGGGCACAGAAACTTGGAAATAAGAAATTAAGGTCTATGTAATTAGATTTGAAACAAAAAGGAGGGCAGAAAAAAAAAATTAACTGGAATGTAAGTTAGTGTTTTTTGATCATGAATGTAATTACATATTTAATTTTGCAAACTATTTTTACTAGTTTGTACTTTTTTCATTATAAAAAAAGAATACAACATACTTCAAAAAACAAAGACACATTGTTGATGTTATATATAAGACGTTTAGGGCCAGCATTCTCTCAAGCCACTGACATAAAAGAGTTTGCTGCTTTCAAAACTACATCCCTTGACCATGTTAGCTTTCATTTTGGTCAATGACACTTTGTTACTATAGCCCATATTATTAGGTAAAAGAGATGCAAAATAAAATATCTGTTTGTTTCTATCAAATACATTTCTTTATTAAGGCATCATCTTCTCAAATAACAGTTTTCTCCAACTGGTGCAGCCCTTCTTAAATAGTATAGTAATTTAGTTGCATTATTCTCAGAATTGTTAATAATTGAAGATTTACTTAGTATATCAGAACATCACGATAGCCAATCTGTTATCTTCATTAGTAAAACAAAACACAACCAATATAGCTATACTAAACTCCACGGCACATAACCACCACCACCACCAAAATATCAAAGAGCATTTCCACAGAATAAATTAGACCTTAATATATTCTACAATGAATAATGTCCATAAATATTTTCTTCTGGACTGTGATTTTAGAAAATTTGGCTTTATGGTCTAATTTTCTTTATCATGAATGACATTTTTTTTTACTGTAAAAGAGTCACAAGATATCAAATATGCATGTGAAACGTCTCTTACATGAGAAGAGAGGCACGCTAAGGCATGCTATTGGCAAGTTCTCTGTACCAATCATTGTGGTTGAGGATGGAGATAAAAGATGCAAAATATACACTTGAGAAGCTAGAATAGATAGCACCAGGATTCAAAAATCAAATATTTTAAATAAAATTTGATGAGTTAAAGAAATAAGGGAAAAATGCTTTTGCTTTATTTTTTTCCATCTGGGAGAGTCAATGAAAACTTCATAGATAGTGTGGCTTTAAAAAAAGAATCACATAAATGCTGTTTTGGCTAGTAACTAATGTCATGTAATAGAGGGAATAGTGTGCCAACACTGGCCAGTGCTGAAGACCAGGGTGCATTTACACAGGAGAGTTGAGAGCCTGCCCTTGAGAAGCTGAACTGTGAAGGAGCAACTCAAGGCTCTCAAAGTTATCAAAGTCAGTTGTATACTGTCTCCTTGCTCCCTTCATCTTCTGCACTACAATTTCCATCTGAAAAGTCTCAATCCCTGAGCCCAGCTGCACCTCTGAGATCAAAACATTTCTTCTTGTGCAGTAAATGAACAAATGGATCTTAGTCAAAGAAGTGTTGTCATAATTTTCTAGCATGTTGCATTTATAATTTAGTGGAAAGATTGTGATAAATGAAAGAAAATCTGTTTAACAATCAAACAGTACTAGTTTATCTAGTGCTTTAGAGTTTCAAAGAACTTTCGGATACGTCATTCCTTTTGATCTTCATAGATTTTGTGCGGTAGAAGGTATTAAGAACCATCTGGACTGAGGCTCATTTTTACGAAGGGTTTGTGGGATTGGTTTCAGTGTGTTATTCATTGTTTCATCTTAGGAAATGTGGAGACCACTGTTTCTACCAGCATATTCCACCTTCAGTGACTTTTCCAAGATGATTTGTTTGCCTAAACTCCTATTTTAAATAAATCCACTTACAGCATGATGCCTTCTGAAAAATCCATGAAGAAATTAGCATATTCAGAGGAAACCTTCCTATAGACTTCATATATCAATTTTACTACTTGATATAAGAAATTTAAAACAGAATGCAAAATTTGGTTGATTTTGGTAGATTTCTACAGTATGTTGTTGTTAAGTGCCGTTGATTTGGTTCTGACTCATAGCAATCCTGTGTAGAGTTTCTGAGGAGCATCTGGTGGGTTTAAACCACTGACCTTGTGGTTAGCAGATCAGTGCTTATCCTACAGCACCACACCAGGATTCCTTCTATAGTGTAGTACTTTAGTTTTCTCAAATATTACTTGGAAGCAAAATCATGAAAACAAGAGCACTTTAGCAGAAACCTTGCCTTTTTTTTTTTTTTCAATTTTTAACTGAGGGTGAACCTAAAAGCCCAGATAGCCAAGTATATAGAAATATGAAGGAAGGAACTAATGATTCTTTTTACCGCTCAGTCTTCCTCATGTTCATCCAAACCTTTTTTTTTTTTCTATCTGCACACATTTTATGGCTTGACCACATCTAAAAAAGCAAAAATATTTAAAAACCAGAAAAGTCTGTCAGAGTCAACCATACTCAGGAAATCCCCAGGGCAGGTGAAATGATATTGTGGTATCATTGTAAGGTATCTGTAACCTACATAACACAAACATGCATATAAAGGATTCCAAATGGAGTCTGAGTTGTAGGCCTCACTACTCTCTCAACTGCTTTCTGATTTAATTGGAGTGACAATACTCCAGCACTTAAACAATTTACTTCTGTGTCATTTTAAATATGAATCTAATTTTCCAACTATTATTCCCTTTTTAGTTCTATTGTGTTTTCTAGATAAATAGGTTTGCTTAGTATGGAAGCAACAAATGCTAGAGCCATTAAACTTCCTGAATTGTGGCTTAATGACAACTGCTGTCCACCTTAAAGGTGGTGAAAATAAAAAGTGGAGAAGAGGAGCCCAGCAATTGTGCCAGCCCCAAGAATGTAATGCTAATTCTTGGCCAACTGTAGATTTGGGAGTGGTAACTGCATTCCAAGGAGCTGACACCAAGGATATCATAAGTGTATGTGTGTACTGCCCTTCTCAGTGACTAAGGGCCAAAATGAGCAAAGCCGGAAACCCCAAAACATTGCCATCACCTTCAACTCACAGCAATCCTGTATGGCAGAGTAGGCATGCCCAGTGGGGTTTCCAAGGTTGTAAATGGGCTCATTAAAACGACTGGAGCAGAGGGGAAGTTAAAACAAGGGCACAAGGATCGCTTAGGGACTGCTGCTGGGGGAGGACTATATATTTCAATTTGGTTCTGAATTTGAGAAAATGAATATTGTGCTGCCTGCGGAGGGTATGCTTGATAATCCACCTGGTGGGAAAATGACCTCATCTTATGACTGTAGTAGGTTGACTAGCATTTTCTGCACTTCAAAACAAAATTTTGCCCCAAAAGTATTAACATTTTACCTGGATATTCGACAGTTTAGCATTAAATTATGTTGTGGCTCTTTTTTAAATTGATAATTATTATTACTATTACTGAGTCACATATTCAAAGAAATGGTGTTGCATGACATATTTATTATGCTGAATCTGTTGTTAGTACACCTTTCTGAGACATCCATGGTTTTAATGGTGACTTAAATGTTCCCAATTAGCCTACAAAACAAAACCTAAACTTAGGTTATTGGGTTGCAAATGGAGACCTCTAATCAATGTTTCCAAGTCAGGAAGTTAATCAAGACTGAACATTTATTTGCTTAGATTTAATCTGTAAATTAATTTATTTGGTGTCATTATTGAACAATTCAGCAGAATAGGATGGCCCTAGCTGGATGGAAACACAGGAGCATCTTCCTTTTTTAAAATGATATATTTTGTTTGGTTTTGTACTTTAAAGGTTTTATTGTGGATGGTGTGAGGGTTTATAGAGAAGATCATCAGTTTTACATTCAACAAACACACATTTTGTTTCATCTTAATGCTTGCAAACCCTTCCATGCAATAGCAGTTTATCCTGCTTCTTCCTATGGTTCCTATTTGCATTAAATTTTTATATGTGATTTTATGTCTAGTGACCTTGAGCGGATGACATCTTTCTATCCACCTCTTAAGCTATATCCCTGAGGAGTGTTGAAAGGTATGTTGTATGATTCAAACTGAATCAGGTATTACTGATGCAGGTAAGGAGCTATCAGTAAATATATGATTGTGTATCACCTGTAAAGAAACAACCGGTAACCTACAAGAAATACCTGGCAAGAACTAGCCAGGAAACATACAGAACCGAATGTTCTTTTAGGATCCTAATCCTCTAAAATATGTACTTACAACTCTTTTTCTTTGTATGATATCAAAAGTAAAACATAGGGCTGTTAATATGTTAGAAAGTGCATAAGTTACATGTTTTATAATAGCGATGCAGGCATCCAAAATAAATGAATAAAAATACAAGCATCTCTCACCTCTTACCAAAAGTATTAATCTAATTTTATAACAATGCTTTCTTTTTAATATTAAAGCACTGTACAAAATATTTGTTTCTAAGATTTAAGTGGAGCATAGTTGATGTTATTTTTTTAAACCTTTTCATTTCTTTCCAACAACTCCAGCTATTTATCACAGTTAATGGTCACGTTTCTATCTTCAGTCATTTGATTTAAGCACCATATTTATTCCAAGTGACTTTTAATAGAGTGTAATAATGGGAAATATTTTCTACTAGCATGAAAATTATACAGCTCTCATTTCACCTTATATTTAAATTTCTTTTTTTTGCAAAGCAAATACAACAGAGTGTTGACATCCTAGAAAAGGTGGTATTGCATGGAGCCTGGGACTATGAAATGTGGACTAGTTGTTTGCTTCCAGGGAACTCTGTATTCTTATCTTCATCTGAACCACTGACTCTTATGTTGTATTTTTTATGATTACAAAATGCTTTGAGGGAGAGGTATTTTAACGTGTACAGTTTGTTTTATTTTCATACTGATCTCTATTTTTGTTTAAAACCATGTTGCATCATGAAATCACTTAATCTAAAATAAATCTTCTTTGAAAAAGTGATTCTGACTTTTTTCTGTTATAAATTTGGGGAGAAAAAAATCTCAAAAGGGAAAGGAAAAATGGGGATCAGGGTCTCATAGGGTCAACATGCAGTCCTAGGGATACAGGAAAATTTCCAGTCATGTAATCAAGAATCTATTCTATTACTTAGAAATATTTTACCATTTGATAGGCCATCAATTAATGCTGAAGGACTGAGTTAACAAAAATCACAATCTCTTCACGTACATGGTATTTTAGGATTAGGAACAGAATCTATAAAATTGAGGAATTGGCTCAGGGGATTAT